GTTGGCCTGGGTGCATGTTTCAGCCCGGGGCAGTACGTTTGCTAGTGCCGATAAGAATATGCATGGCGCTTCTTGTTGTGGGCGGGGTCGGGCAGGAGGCAGCCAGACACGAATTTGCGGACAAGCATTTGCGTGCGCCAAGGCATGGGGTGAGTGTCCTTCGCGTGTACGCATGGTCGCGTGCAGCAACCACAGATAGTGGGTTGGGCTCTTTCTAATGCTGTGTGCAGCGCGCTGCGGGTTGTAGACGTGTTCGGCAGCAGACAGCCAGGTGAGGATACAGTTTCCAGCATTTGTGCAGATCATGGCATCAGCCACGGTGAGTGGCTTTCGTCGAATAGTCTAGCTGCTGCCGAGTAGGACTTGGTGCTTAAGCATTTGCTTGCATGAAGGTGCTGGGCAAGGTGAGTGCCTCTTGTATCTTCGCCTGGATTGGTTCGCTCAAGCGGTGTTGTGGAGAACTTTGTCAAGTCATTCGATTTGTCCTTCCGAACATCTGACACTGGACGTTTTCATGCGCTTTCACGCAGAGCTGGCCTATCTAAGTGACGTATTGGGTATTGCTGTTGTATTCTACCGACTTGCCCGAGCATAACGCCTATATTTGACGCTTGTTTTGTTCGCCGGTTGCGGCCTCTATGATACTACTAAACGCAGGATGGGTGGCGACGGCAATCAACACAAAGGTGGACAGCGCAAGAATGCTGCCGATGGCGGGCTTCTGTCGCGCCGATAATCCCGTGGTGCAGGAATGCCGCGGATATTTTGCATTATGAGGCACTGACAGAGTGCCCGAGCGCTGATCAGAACCGCACATTGGTGCGTGCAATGAGCAGTTTCAAGTGCGTATTGTTATGAACTGGTTTCTCCCACTACATTGGTCCTCTTGAGAATCTGGGACTGTATTGGAGAAATTTTGTTTTGGGGCGTTTTTGTCGGAGTGTAGAGCTGGCCAGGCAAAGCTAAGCGTGGGGCGTTGATGCTCCGAGGCGTTTATTTGCTCGCTAAGGCATGGAGGCCATGC